AAGAGAGAGGTCTGACCAGAAAACCTGGGCACTCCCCAGCTGGAACACCCCCTCAGCCTGCTGCTGATGAACCAACTCACCAGGAGTTGAACCAGGATGATGAACCAACTCACCCCCCCGGGCTGCTCCCGTGGGACTCACCAGTGGGGTCTCAAAATAAGGTGCAGGATTTGGAGACCAGGTCTGAGGCACGATGCTGTAGATGGAGTACTGCTGAGGGCTATATACAGGCTGCATGAACAGGGGGGAGGCAAACTGGGCCTGGGTCTGCACGGGCTGGGGGTACACGCTGGAGTCCAGCACCCGGTAACCATTCTTGGCGAAGAACGTGTTGATGGCTTTGATCCTGGCCTGCAAGACAGCAACAGCCCAGCCCAGGTCAGCCAGGAAAGGAGGAGAGGCAAAACACGGAATCTTTCCTGCCTACTGAGTTGCAACAGAAGGGATGAGAAGGCTCATGGTTACTGCTCATGAATAAACACTGTCAGGAGTCAGCCCAGCTCACACCCTGGCAGTGGGACAGAGGGGAGGGCACACGTTGCTTGAGCTGGAGAATCTGTCAAGCTGAAGACAAACTACAGCAGGGACTGTCCAGACTCCAGTGGTGACAGCTCCTCTCACAGCACAGGCAGTTCTGCTCCAGCCTGCTCTGTGCTGCAGCCAGCTCAGGACTCACAGGGGCAGGGATCCCTCTCCTGAGCTCTGCAGACCCAGATTCTGGGCAATGTGGAGAAGGGAAGATGGCACAGGAATGTGTTTCAGCCCCCCTGTGAGTAACCAGCAGCCACTGAACTGTAATTTGTCAGAGCTACCCATGACCTCATTCATGTCTCCAGCCTTCAGAGCAAGAGTTATGGACCAGCCCACTGCTAATTCCTTGGTCCCACCCCCCTAGAAATGGTCCCCACCACCCAAAGAGAAACAATTCCAACAGAAAGCTCAGCTAAATAAAAGCAGCCTCACCATTACTGGCTTGCCCTGAAAGGTTTTCACTTCTTCCCTTAAGTATTTAAACGCCTGCAGACACAAAAAAAAAGATCAACATTAGAATATCTTGATAAAGTTTTACTTCCCAAAGGATATTACATGATTTAACACGAATGTGCTTCCCTGTTAGCCCAGATAAATTTATTAACACTTCAAATTCAGGATTCCAGTGCCAGTCGTGGTCACTGAGTGCCGAGGCAAGAGGCAGACAAGGGAATAATCTCCCAACTTCGGTCTTATTAACCAGAATTTGCCAGTAATCTCTTAGAACAACACAAGGGGGATCAGTAAATAAATATTTCTCTCAGCCACAGGAAGCACATGTGCAATCCCCCTGAGCAGGGGGAGGATGAACAAGGGGGATGTTGGGGTTGGAGGGGCCTTACCTGCTGCGCGTCTGTGTCGGACTGGAATGTAACGTACCAGTTGTTGTTGTGAGCAAACTCACAGCTTATCACCTTGGGGCAGTTCTCGTTCTTAAACAGGGCCTTCACCTCCTGGGGAGACAAATCCAGGCCAGTTCAGAGCACCTGGCTCTGAGCTGGACAGTTGAACACCAACGAGACACAAGTTTACGCTCCCCTGACCAGGGATGTTCTTGTGTTCCCCTGACAGGCTCCTCAGGCACCACCTCATCCTCTCCCTGTTCCTGAACCCACAGATCCCACTCCAGGCCTCCTGAGTTCCCCAGGTAAAGCACAGCAGGATCAGGTGGTAAGAAAAATCAAGATCTCATGATATTTCCATAAAAAACAGGTAGCAAAGGTGTGGCTTTAAATCAGGAGTCGTGGAGACAAGAATGACTCCATGAAACACTTCTAAGTCAAGGCAACTTGACAGGTTTTTTTTATATCTTTGCAATAATCAGATTGTAAAAAGAGAGGGACAAGCAGCTGTTCAGTGTTTGCATTAAAAGAACTCATTAAAAATGCTGGTAGACAAACACCCTGTGTTACAACTTTAAAAAACAAAGAGCTAAATCATTCTGTTCGCCAAGTATCAGGAGGAATTTTATTATCCTCCCTCCTCTGAACATAATGAGCTCAGCTCACGCTGGGGCACAATGAATGAGAAATGTTTAGCAACATTTCTTGCTGCCAAAACAACCGTCTGACTTCAAGTAAAGTTACTGCTGTGACAAAAATTCAGCCCGAATTCCAAGCTATGCCCTGGACTGATTTATTTTTGGATCCGAAAAGAAACCAGTTCAAACTTCCTTCCAGAGAAGCCAGGCTAGCTCAGCTTTGGTGGAGAAAAAAAAAATAAAAAGGAGTTTACTTAAGAAGGTTTAAATATAGTAGTAAATAATGGGAAGGCACAATGGCAATAAGTTTTTGTTTTGGCTGTTTTGACCCGGGCGGAAAATATTATTGATGTGGTTCACAAGAAAAATATCCCTGTTTAATCACATTAAACACCAGCTGACCTTTCCCTGGTGCTGTTTGAAGCCCTGCTGAAGACAACCTTCCAAAATCATCAACCTTTAGTTCCCTCTTCTCCCCGTATTTACCTCTATGGGTGTTGTCTCGGGGATCTCACGGAGGATGATAATGCACCTCTTGTGGTTTGGTCTGACCTTCTCCCCTCTCTCGTCCACTTGTACCATGGGAGAAGCTGGAATTCAAAGAGCAAAGTGGGACACTGAGCACATCTGGGCAGGAACAGACTCTTGTTATGGAATTTGTAACAAAGAAGGAGAATTCAGGAGTCTGGAAAAGCCTCTTACTCAGCCCTGGCTGCAGAGGGAGGTTCCTGTCACCCTGTACCAGCACAAGAAGCCACAACCAGCTCAGAGACTGAACCATCTCTCTGAAGCACCAGGATTCTTTGTCCTACTGATACACACCCCAAACCCCCAGACTTACATCTCAGAACTTCAAGAATAAGGTCCATGTCCGTTGTCAGCTTCTTAATCCCTTCCATGTTGGCAATTGTCCATATTGGAACAAACTGATCGCTGTCCATCTGAGACATCAAGTAGAGATCCTTTGAAAGATTCTCACTGAAAAGACATGAAATTGTGATTTCATAAAAATCCTGAACTTTGGCTCCCAGAAGACTCAAAACACCAGGATCACTGCAGGCTTAAATATTCCCCAATTCCACTCACAGCTGAAAAACCCTCAAATTCTCTCTCCTGGAACAAATCCCAGATCGACACAAAACAGAGTAAAGCAATTTAAAAAAATGTCATGAAAGTTGTGGTGCTCTGCACGTTGGCCTGCAAAAGGGATCTGCCAAAGAGCCTTCTGGGGACACACAGCCAAGTTATCTCGAGGTCTTACAACTCCAGAGCACAGGAGGTTCATCCTCCCCCAAGGACACGGATGCACAGACGGGACTGGAACAGCTGGAAGGTGCCACAGGGTTTCCACGGCACGTCAGCAAACCTTGGTTTGTGTTTTTTTGTATTTTTATCAAGATGATGGGACACACCAAGCCAAAAAACAGGGAATATTTGTCAGGGATTTTAATGAAGGCTTTATACCAGGCTGAGTTAACTGCACCTACCGGGAGAAGCAGAATTCAAGTTGTTTCCTCAAACATTCCCTGATGTCTTCCGTGGACACGGCGGAGGGGCCGTCACCTGGAAGGGATCACACACCCCCCATATCAGATCCCAGTTCCACATCCACACAGTGCAAGGACATGTCTCATTGTCCAGGAGAATAAATCCCTCTGGATTTATTTTTCCCAGGGGGAAAAGCTCATCTGAGGTGCTTAAAGAACTCAACACGCTCCCAACACGACTCCGACCTCACCGCTGGCACCTGCTTGGCCAAGTGTTGGAGCTTCTTGGACAGCCATGGACGTGCCAGGATTCCTCCTGGGTCACAGCACAGCTGCAGCAAACTGCAGGGGGTTTTACAGGCACTGACAGCAGGGGTTGAACTCGAGCACTCACCAGACACTTCATAGATTTGGTATCCCAGGTCTTCGGTCGCCAGGATGATCCCGTTGGCAGAGGCTTCATCAGCTCCTGTGCCATTCCTTGTGGCCTCACAGGACGGGGAATACATCACTTCATACTGCTTGCAGCTGTCCTCTGAGAGCTCTATGTTACCTGTCAAAGGGACACACCAGCAGCAGGGAAACTCCTGTGAGCTCCGGGATAATTCCCCACGGGAAAAACTCTGGCTACCGACATTAAAACAAATACCCAAAAACTGCTGCAACTGAGAGCGTCTAAAGTTAGTCTGTATTTCTTAGACTTTGTATTGGAGAGGATTTTCCAGTTCTCCAATTTCACAAAGGTCTTCTGGTTTGCACCAGGCTCTCGGGGATAAGTAAATAAAAGTAAATAAAGGATCCTGAAACTGGTCCCCAAAGTGGGAGAGGATCTAAAAACCAGTCTTTCTACGTGAAATTTAAAATATTTAAGCGAGGTTCCTAAAAACAAGGGGTGAAAAATCGCTTACACTGCCAGGGTTGCTTCACTTTGTTGTGAAGAGACAAATGAGTTTCTGTCGGGCAAAGCACAAACCCGGCGCTCGATCCTCACTTCTGCTGACTTACCAGAAACCTTTGACAAGCTGAATCCCCCCTTCTTTATCCCTAACTTTGACTGAACTGTTTTGCAGGGAATCTTCTGCCTCCTGGGAGTCACCTCAGCTACCCCTGAGCCAAACCAGAGCCACCTGAAAGCTCAGTTCTGCCCACGTGGTCAGGATGGAAACGGGGCTGAGATGGAACAGACCGGAGGGAGAGGAGCAAGCTGTGGACACTGGGCACTCTGAACTCCAGCACAAGTGCTCCTGCCAGCTCTCAGGGGTTCCCAGGATGGCAGGTGGCCCTCAGACCTCATTTTCCTGTTCACAGGGCCCACGGATGCCAAAGTGCAGCGATGCCATGAGTCCATTCCACACCTTTGGCACCCTGCTCCCTCCTAGCGCGTTACATGGTCATCACCGGGCCCCTTGGATCCTGTTCCCTGCCCAAGTGTCCTGTCCCACCTCCTTGACCCTCTGAACCTCCAGGACAAGAGCCCAGGGGTTGCTCTCCCAGCTGAACTCATCCTGAATGTCCCCCAACAAGGGATGAGTGACAACATCTCACCCTCGGCCGGGGTCCCCTGGGCCGCCGCCGTCTCCTGCCACGTGTGCTCGGTGCCATTTGAGGGGGGCACGGCCTCACCACTCCCCTGGGGGACTTCTTGCCACACTTTGGCGTTGGGGTTCAAGCCAGCCCCCTTCGATGTCACCTGCTGAAGAGACCAGAACACCTCTGTCAGTGCAAAACGAGCCGGGGAAGCCCCAGAAAGCCAAGCCAGACAATACAGGAGAATTTAGTGATCGTCTCTAGAGAGTTCCACATCTCAAGTTGTCTACCCAGCTATTAAAGCACCTATGTGATTTTTTTTTTTTCATTAATCAAAACAGGAAAATCCTTGGTATTTTCCAAGTATTTCGTTTCTACCTCCATTAGAAGTGTTGCCTTCAACCTCTCTTTATTGACATCCGACAACATCAGCGGAGGCAGCGGCTACCGGCCAGGACTCTGGGAACTCATAAGCTTTTAAAGACTTGACTGTCATAATGCTCCAGTCCCCTTTCACCAGAAAGGGAAATTTTCCCTCCTCCAGACCCCTTCCTAGAAAGGAAGGTAAAAAAACATATGTCAAGGAGCAGAAACTGTATAACTCGTGGAATTAGTGACATCTCTACCAACCAAGCATCGCCTGCGCTGTGCCAGGATTCCTCCTGAACTTACCTGAGCCCTGCCCCGTTTCCCCCAGGAATCACCTGCACCTTACACACATCAGCAGACACAAATTATTTCCTTAAACTCGCAGCCAAGGAGATTTGGAAGTGCCAAGCCAAACTTGCACACTGTCCCAGCCTGTCGGGGGGAGAACGGGAACTTCTCACCTCAGGAATGGGTAACGAGGGCCAGGATTAGAGGGAGGGGGCTGAATAATGGGACAGACAAGAGGAACTGATGGATTCCAGCACAGAGAAACGCTCCTTCCCACAGCACAAGACCCTCCAAAGTTCCTTTCCCAGAGCTGCTCAGAGGCATTTGGGTGAGGAGCCCAACAGGGCAGCGGCTTTTGCTCCTTCCACGTAGACAACAAAACTCCCCTTCTGCAAAAATCCTCCCCACAGGAAGTTCAAACACCCCACAAGCCACTGACACAGTTCCTCCAGCCACTGAAGGATGCTCCACTTCACTCCTGCTGGACTTTAAAAGGTGAAAGCCAATTAATTAATCCAGCTCACATCCACAAACTCCCAGATAAGGGAGTGGGATATTTCAGAGCCTGGCCTCCTGGGTTCTGAAGTTAAGGAGTGGCTCCCTACCAGGCCTCAAACACAAAGCACAAGGATAAGGAAGCAGTTGCAATAGCTTTAGAGATAATTCCTCTGCCAAGGTCACACCTCGTGCCAAAGCTGTTGGCTGCAAGGACGAGCCCCAGGCCGGTAACAAGAAGCCTCCAAACACAGGAGAGGTTCAAGAGAAACAAAACAAGGACCACAATTCCTGCAAAGCTCTGAGACTCAAGCCCTCAACACACAATTAATTCACACAGCAACAGTCTTCCCCTCTCGTTAATCTCAGCCCAAGAACAGAGCTGGAAACAGAAAGGGCTGGAAAGAGTTCAGGGTGAAAGGACACACGTGCGTTTCCCTTCGCAGAGTTCAGAGCTGTCCTCCAACAAAACAACCTGAGAAGGAGATCCCAGGAACCTGCTGCACCCCCAGGCTCTGTCCCTGCAGCTCAGCACTCCCAAACTCCACCTTGCTCAGCTCCTGGGATGCAGCATCACCCATCCACGTGCACTCAGGGACCCAGACCCAGCAGGTCCCAGTTCTTTGACTTCACTTCTCATCAAAGCAAAATGAGACAAGACACAACCAGGAGATGATTCATTCTTCTCTAAAAATAAACCCTGCCTCACTACCTACATCTCTGAGGGAAGCACTGAGCTCAGCCTGAGAGTAATTTGAAGGAATAGACGGGATAAAGGGAAAGTGAAACACTTTTGGGGCAGTTTCTGCGCTTCTGGAGGTGATCAGGACTAAAAGCAACTCTGGAGATGGCAGAGGATGTTCCTCACCTTAGAGAGACCAAAGGCACACGTGGCACACACCAAAAATCTCAGGTGCAGGTGAGAAGGGCTCAGAAACCAAAGAGATTTGGGCTGGGAAGTGATGAATGGCCCGTGAACACAACGGTTGGGACACACACCTGGAGCAGAGCCTGAGCCACTTCCCCTGGGCTGGAAACCCTCAGTGACGTGGGACACAGCTCTGCACAACCCAGCCCCGCTCTCACCCCTCTCAGCAGCAAAACCCCACGGTCTGGAGAGGACAAAAAGTCCCTAATTTACATCAGCTTTCGGGAAATTCGCCGTGCAGAGCCCCAGGAGCGGCTCTTCAGAGGAGAAGGCCAAAATATCAACTCTTGCTTGTTTAAGCGAGGCTCCAGAGCCCCGGCCTGTGGGATTGGCTGCAGCACGATCCTCCCAGCTGCTGCTATCGGGAACTTTCATGATGAAGTTAAAGCTTTACAGAGTGACAAAGGTTGGGAACACTCGCTGGGACCCACGAGCTGACAAAGCTGCCCTGGGCACAGCAAACGTGGATCAAAGATCTTCCTCCAGCAATTCCCCCAAAAAAATGACTATTGAAGCCAAGTCTCATTCTGAAAGGATGGCAAAGGATATTTTTCTTATTGTAATTACATCTAAATCGTATTTAACCAGAGTCAATTAAGCTGACAAAAATGCAAGCGCTCAGAGGTTTAAAGAATTTGATTTTAATATTAACTCGAATCATCCCGCAACCAAAATCTTAACCCAGAGCTTGTGACACATTTCCCGGAGCAGGCAGAGACTAAGAGGGACTCAAAGCCGAAAAATCCAGAAGAGAATTTGACAAAAAACTTGCGAGGGGGGAGAAACTAAACCTTTTCCAGAAGTGGAAACGTAAGCAGATGGAAAAACCCCAAGGTCAGCAAAGCCACGGGAGGCAGCGGAGAGAGAAACCTTGTGCTGGCTGGGGGGGAGAGGCAGGAGGGAACACCCCTGGGGGGGGGGCTCAGACACAGGGTGGGCTCCTGGCAGCTCCTCAGAGAGCAGGTACTGTCACCTCCTCAGGTGGGGAGTCACCTGTCACCTCCTCAGAGAGCAGGTACTGTCACCTCCTCAGGTGGGGAGTCACCTGTCACCTCCTCAGAGAGCAGGTTCTGTCACCTCCTCAGGTGGGGACTCACCTGTCACCCTCCTCAGAGAGCAGGTCCTGTCACCTCCTCGAGGGGACTCCCCTGTCACCCTCTCAGAGCTCAGTCAGGGTGTGAAGCTGGATAAGGAGAAGCTCCTCAGGAGCTGCCAGCAGGTCTCAGGTGACAGTTCCGTGCTCTGAGCACCCCAGGTGACTCTCAAACCCACATTAATGGTCACAGGAGGGTCGCTCCCACCAGATGGGTTTTCCAAGGGCTGGGATGAGTCTCTCATACCCAGGGGGGCTGTAGGAAGGGGGTAACCTGTGGCAGAGGTGTGTGAACAGGGGGCAATTCGGGGGGGGCTGGTCAGCCAGAGGGAAGCCAGGAGCCTCACCTGCAGGAGGAGAGGGCCAGCAAAGCTCAGGGCTCGCCACAGCCCTGGATTTCCAACCAGGAAACATCCCGGGCAGCGTTTCGCCCACCTGGAACACACAGGCTTCCATTTCCCCAATAAACTCCGAACAGATGGGATTAGCAGCACGTAAACCCCCCTGAGCAGAGCCCCCAGCAGGCCCAGCAGCCATTATCAAGCCCATTTTTCCCCAGTGCATTTAATAATATTCCTAATTATTGATTGTTAACAGCACACGGGTCCTGGCTGCGAGGGAGAAACGAGGCCGACCCCAAACATCAGCACGAGCCTCACACAGCCCTCACTGCACCAGGTCTGGAGTTAAAATATAATAATAATAATAATAATAAATACCAGCACGAGCCTTACACAGCCCTCACTGCAGCAGGTCTGGAGTTAAAGATGTTACAGGAAAACCCAATTTCCCCTCACTCCGAAAGGCTCCACTCACAATCACCATGTTCCCACTTGAGGTGGGTCTAAAACAAACACCTACAGCTACAGCAAAGCAGCCAAATCCCCCTGGAAACCTCGAGATGTCCACCACTGTCCTGTCCTGGGCCTTATTTTCCAGGCACCCCCAAAGATCCTGAGACAAAGCTGCTCTTTGCTCCAGAGCATCCGACTGCAGCGTCCCAGGACACCCGGCTTTGAGCTCCAGCCCCTGCCCTGCCAGCGAAAAAACACCTTCAGAAAGTCCAGATGGTCCTCAGGAACTCAAAACTGAACATTACTGAGGCTTCCAGAAGGAAGATCACCGAAACTCCCACCACCACCAGAGGAAGGAGATCAGACAGAGCAACCAAAGTGGAGCTGGTGCTTTTAGAGGGGCTCCCTGAACGCCCCGAGGAGGGGATGTGCTCCAGCTCCCTCTGAGCTCAGCCACAACATCCCCAGCAGCCATGTGCTCCCTGGCTGATGGGCTCTATCTCCCTTCCAGAACCTGCCTCGTGTGCCCAAGGGGGGCCACCTCCTGCTCCAGGGCCCTCTCACCACGCTCAGCCCGGGCTGAGGCCGCTGCTTAGGGCTCCCCTCGGCCCCAGCAGTTCCTCTTCCAGCCAAACGCTGCAAACCCAGATCCTCAAAACCTGTCACCGTCCTCACGACAACTTTTATTCCTCTCGGGTGAAGCCACGTAACTCCCAGCTCAGAACTGAGGTCTGGGGATTCTTCTGCGGCGATTTCGCTTAAGGGAGAGGAGCTGTTTCCCCGAGCCTTTTTTATTCAGAGGGCCCGAACCGCAGAGCACGTGTTGGTGTTTCGCGTTAAGAGCACCCCCGAGAACCTCCGAGCAGGACCCCCCCAAGCAGAACCCCACGAGCCGAATCCCCCATCCAGGCAGGGACCCCCCGACAGACCCAGGACGGCTCCCCCGGCCCCCTCCGTCTCCCCCGGCCGCCACCACCCCCCCCGACCCCGCAGCTCTCGGCTCCGCGCACGTTTCGGGACAAAACTCGGTGCAAAGTTTCCAGCGGCCGCCCGGGTCCGTCCGGCAAAGGGCTGGAACCGCCTCGGCCGAGCCCGCGAGGGGCCGCGAGGCACCGCAGCCCCGTCCCGGGGCCTCCGGGGACACCGCGCCCGCCCTCCCCGGTGACCTCCAGGGCCGGGCCGCGCTCCCCGTCCCGCCGGGCCCCGCCGCCAACCACCCCCGGGGGGTTTAATTAACGCAATTAACGAGGCGCCGCGCTCGGGCCCGGCGCCGCGGGGCCGCCCCGCGCCGCGGAGGGGCCGGGCCGGGGAGGCCCCGGGGAGGCCCCGCGTGTCCCGCGTCACCTTCACGGCCGGGCCGCGGCGGCCCCCGAAGGTCACGACGGCGGCGCCTCCCCCGGCTCCCGGAACCTTCCAGAGCGCCCCCCAAGCCCGCCCCGCGGCCGCCGCGCCCGGATCTGCTGTGTCAGCCCCGTCCCCTCCCCCGGCGCGGCGGGCGCGGCGTGCGCGGCCTCCCCTCCGCCGCCTCCTCCTCCTCCTCCTCCTCCTCCTCCTCCTCCCGCGCCACATGGCCCCGCGCGCCGCCGCCGCCTCAGCCTCACCTCCACGAAGAGCAGCATCGCGCCGCCGCGGCCGGCGGGCCCCGCGCTCGCTCCCCCGCCCGCCCGCCCCCCCCCCCACCTCCGCGGCGGTGGCCGGAGCGGCGATCGGGACACGCGGGCTCCGCCTCCGGCCGCGCCGCCCGGCCCGGCCCGTCCCGCCCGCTGCCCGCCCGCCGCCGCCGCCTCTTCCGGGAGCTGCGAGCGCGTCCGGGGCACGGCCGGCGCGCACCATTCCCCCCCGCGAGCGGGGGGGGAGCCGGTGCGCTTCCCTCAGGGCTCCGCCAGAGGGCGCGGCGGCTGCGGCGCCGCGCGCGGGAAGCGGCCCCCCCTCCCCGCCAGGGGGGAAATGGGCGGGTCCGGAGGCGCGTTCGTGGAAAATTCTCGGGTTTGGGGTTTTTTTTTGTTTGGGTTTTTTTGGTTGGTTTTAGGGGTGAATTTTTTTGGGGTTTTTTTGTTTGTTTTTTCTCTGTTTGTTTTTGTTTGTTTCGCTGTGTTTTGGTGGGTTGTTTTTTTTTTTCATTACGGGACCCAAAATACTTTTATTTTCCCATTTTCACACACCAGCCCAAATCATCCAGTAATTCTCCCACCTCAGGTTGGACACACCGCAGCTCAGGTACCAGCAAGGGCCAAACCTCACCCACGGAAAGCCCCCGAGCACCGAATCCTGCCCTGCGCCCCAAGGGGATTCCTGCCAGGAAAACACACCCTGAAAAAACTTCGCTTTAGGGGGAAAGATCCACAAAATTTGCTGCAGCGCACTGAGGGGAATCTTGTTATTTTGGGTGACCGAGAAGTGTTCTGTAACAACATTAAAACATTCTGGTGTGGGCGGAGGACGGAGTTTCCAGCCCTGGGATCCCCAGGATGCTGCCGTGGATCACTGGCCTGGGAGGGACCCCACCAACACCATCACCTGCAATTAGGGCTGGGCAGATCCGGGTGGATAAGTCGGAGCCAGGGAATAATCAGGGTCCATTGAGGAGATTAGACAGGGAGCACAAGCTGCCTGGGAAACACAGCCCAGCTGGCAGGTTGTGTGGTGTTCCACGGGCAGCAGCTCCGGGACACAGAGGAGTGAAAGAAAAGGAAATTGGAGGAGTAGGAATCGAATAAATCACTTGGAGCAGGATAAACGGGATTTCACAGATTGCAGAATCCATCCTGGAACCCTCTCTCTGCCCAGGGGGCTGCCCAGCCTCAAACCACGGGGACAGTGTGGGAGCAGATCCCCCTGAGCGGGGTTTGGTACCTCTGAGAGCAGGGACAGGACCCAGGGAATGGCTGGAGCTGTGTCAGGGCAAGGTCAGGTTGGATATTGGGAAAAGGTTCTTCCCCCAGAGGGTGGTTGGGCACTGCCCAGGCTCCCCAGGGCAGTGGGCACGGCCCCCAGGCTGCCAGAGCTCCAGGAGGGTTTGGACAACGCTCTGAGGGACAGGGTGGGATTGTTGGGGTGTCTGTGCAGGGCCAGGACCTGGACTGGCTGATCCTTGAGGGCCCCTTGCAGCTCAGGATATTCCACGAGTCTGTGATTTAGTGAGACCTCCCAGTTCCAGTGTGGAATTGAGAACCTCTTCCTCCTTCTCACCCCCTTCCCCCACCAGATGCCCTCGCACTGAGCACTTGTCATCTCCAAAGCCCTTTGCAACCATTAACTGGTTAATCCTCACACCCCCTGTGGAGCAGGAGCAGGTCAGCATCCCCCTGGCCCAGGGATATCCCCAGCTCCAAAGCTGCTCCTTAATTTTGAGTGTTCCCAAACAGAGCTCCCAAAGCGATGGAGGAGTCGCGGCATGAAACGGTTCCGAGCCCCGATTTCAGACCTGCCGAGCACCTGATACCCCTCAGGAGCTGAGGATTCCCCACCCCAGGCTTTGCTGGGATGTAAATTATCACTAATGCTCTTGGATTAGAGCATTTTCCAGCAGTTGGTTCTGCCCATTCCATTGAAAGGCTGTTGGTGAAGGGCTTGGTGCCACTTCCAGGACACCTCCAGCTTGGGAACACGCTCCCAACCTGCTCAAAGTGCTGATGGGGTGCAAGTAATTCCTGCTGGGTGACAACAATTCCCTGGCATCCAAGGGAGAGATGCAGGAGCGATGCCACTGGAGCCAGAGCACGCTTCAACCAGGTCCCATTCCCACTTTTTGAGAGGTGAAAGCACCAATTCTGTGTTTACACCCCAGAGAAGGTTCTCCCCTGTTGGTCACCAGAGGCAGGGACAGCTCCCCTTGCCTGGCTCCCTGCCCTGCTCCCAACGGCTTCTCCCGATGGGTGGGTTTGGAATCACGGCAGAAACAAATGTTCCTCCTGCTGAAAGCATTCCAGAGAGCTGATGGACACACTGAGGTGAGAGGGCACAGCAGGAAGCTCCTTTCCTACAGCAGGCCCTCACCCAGCTCCGTGGAACGAGGCTGCAGAGGGATTTATCTCTTGTTATACATCAAATTATCTGATGTGAGCTGGTGCCAGTAAAAACTGGGATTTCCTGTCCCCAGCCTCCCTCTGCTCTATTGACTTTCCCTTGCTTGGGGTGCAACTGCTGCACTTATCCCTTATTCCCCAGGAGAAGACAGGGATCCAGCTGGATTCAGGGGCATCTCTGGAGCAGGAGCATCCCAGCACGTGGGGAGGAAGACAAGGACTGTGACACAGACACCTGAACAGCAAGCAGAGCCTTTCCCAGCCCTCAGAGCCAACAGGGCAGGACGTTTTTGGCACCCGCCGACTTCAGGAGAGGAAACTCCACCTCGGGGGAGCGCCGAGGGCACCGGGAACTCGGCCGGGGGAGGCCAGGAGGGAACGTTGTAACCACGAGGCAGAGTGTGCAGCAGCAGCAGCAGGAACAGTCAGGAACCTGGCACAGATTGGTGACTCCTGGCTGTGAGCTGGGACCTCCTGCCCGCCAGCCCCGAGGTCTGGGCGCTTCCTCAAGGTGGGAAGTGCTGCTCCCTCCCCAGGAGGCAGTTTCCCTTTTCCTGGTGTTTCACCTCTGTTCCATCCACACCGGAACGCTTCGGTCACAGCCCGGTGCGAACATCACGAAAAAGACAGGGATAAAGTTTATTCCCCCTGGTTCTGATGAGGGCCCTGCACAGCAAAGGCTTTACCTGAGCACAGCCTGTCTGAGGGGTCTGAAGCCAGTCCCTGGGACAGGGATGATGTCCTGTCCCTGTTCCCCACCACCCACTGCTCTGTCCAACACGGCTCCAACACCTCTTGGCCCCAGGGTTTTGTCCTGAGGTGCTAAATTTGGTGACCACACCCCTGCTGCCGTCCCCACTGTGAGCCAGGAGCAAATATTCTGAGACAGGGAATAAATACTGAGCTGGCAGCACTATCTCTGCCCCAGCTCTTGCTCCCTCCTCCCAGACAGCCAGGGAGCCTCCGGCACCGCAGCGGAGCCGTTGGGATTACAGGGTGTTCCCACCACGGGGCTCTGCAGATGCTGCCAGGGCCTCCTTGGTGGCTCCATCACAAAAGGGCTCAGCATGGAAACATCTGGCTTTAATTCTTCTTTAAAGCCACGACTTTCATTTGGCCACCAAACCACTTCCCTTTCATCTCTCCGGAGGACCGACCCTGTGGCAGAGCTGGCTCTGCCCTCACCCTGCCTCTCATCCCGCGGGAAGAAGGTCCCAAAAAATCCAGGGGAGAGATTTCAGAGAGGCAGCAGCTCCCAGCTGACACGTTCCTGCCCTCCTCCTTCCCTAGAGTTCCTTTTCAAGCCCTTTCAAGGCACACATTTCTCTGTCAGCGCATCTCCAAGGGGCTCGGATCCACTTTAGACCCGATTCGCCCTTAATTCCCTGGGATGAGAAGCCAACCTTGAGGAATTGATAGACCTGGCGTGTTGTGTTGGGCAGGCCAGAGTGTGCCCTTGGGCTGGAGGGAGAAGCTGTGTCTGTTTGGAAATTCCTTTAACTGAGGATGCTGAAGGTTTGTGGCTGGGCTGGCAGGCTGGGGAGAAGGGCTGGGAAAAGGCCGGGCAGGATCAGAAACACAAGCAGAGGAGTTTCCTCCACAACACTTGGCTGATAATTCTGCTATCAATAAACCTGAGCAAAAGAGATGCTGTTTTGAACTCTCAGCGTGTTTTTGTGCAGCAGAAGAGGCCTGAAGCAGGAATGCTGGAGGTTGGAGAGATCAGCTGCCATCACATGATCCCGGGACGCCTGTAACCACAGCAAAGTTTTATCCAAAGCCAGGGAGACTCTTGGCTCTGCTTCTGGGCCTGAGCTCAGCAGAGATTGTGCCTCGTGTTTTCACAACCTTCCATCGATGCTGGAGTGACTGAGTGGCTCTCCAGGCAAAGCTGAGTCCCAGCAGTGTGGGAGAGGTGCCTCAGGAAGCCTCAGGCAGCTCAGAGCCATCGTGGGGGCCAAGCAAAGCCCCAGAGCTGCAGTTCCAGGGGCAGCCAGCCCTGAACAATCCATCTCCCGTGGCAGACTCTGGCTACACCCAAAAGCCTTGGCAGTGCTGGGGTGGGAAACTGTGGCAATAACACCAAATAAACCAGCTCTTCCCATCTGCCTCCTGCCCTCCTGCTGCAGCGCCGGGCCCTTCGCGCCGCCCCGGGGAAAAGGATTGACCTTTTTTATTCAATCAAATCAAAATAATCCAATAAAAAAAATGAACAAATAATCCATGTGGGGAGCAGCAGGACAGTAACAGGCTCACATGGATTCACAGCTGCCTGGGAGGAGCAAGGACCTGCTGTGGGGCCTGGGCCTGCCGTGGGACACGGAATCCTTCCGCAGCTCAGGTGGGTGTTTTGGTAGCTGGGAGTTTTCCCTCTTGCTGCACCATATTCCAGCCAGGAAACCCACTGGGTCATCCAGCCTTCAGGAGCTGATCTCCAGTGGTACGTGCAGGAGAGCTGAGGTGTCCCTGTGCCACCTTCTCCACTGCTCCATCCAGGTCAAGACTTCCTGGCAGCCAGTGAATCACCGGGAGAGAGCGGGAGCAGGAAATCCAGCTGCCAGGCTGACTCAGCGTGGCTCCCTCCTGGACCTTGGACAGCTGGAGCTGGGCAGGACGTTAATGTTTAACTCCACTGAAGCCTCCAGCTTAGCAAAAGGCCTGGGAGACACCAGCAGAAGGCAGGGACATCCTGCTTTGCAGGAGCTGTGCTGCCCGACGGTCCCTCAGGCCTGAGAGGCAAGTAAGTCAAAAGGCAAAAAAGTCCAAAGGGCCCCTTGGCATCTGATAAGCCCCAGGAAAGAGATGGATAAAGGGAATGGCATTAATGAGTTCATCTGGCCAGCCCTGCCCTGCCCTGGGCACAGCAGCTCTGGGCAGATCCACACCATCAGCAAAGGAAAGCTCAGGGGTTGTTTGGGAGATGTTATCAATTATCTCAGCAGTGACCAGCCTTCCTGCTCTTCCCTCCTTCTCCATCTCTCCTTCCTCTTCCCAAGGTATTTAAATCCATACAGGACTCCCTTGGCCAAGGAGGAGCACACAGTGCCCCAGGGGGAGGGCAGGACCCCAGACTTTAATCCCAGCTCTGGTTACTCAAGATTCCTGTTCCTCACTTCACCCTCGTAAAATGGGGATGGTGCTTCCTGAATTCCCAACGCTGCCAGAGTCACCTTCCCAGGGCTAATTGGGAAGATCCAAAAACACTGGATGAGTGGCTGTGAAGCACTCCCTTGTCAGAGGACCAGGAGCCCTGGCCTTCCTGATCCACAGCCAGGATGCCAAGGACAGCCAGGAAAGAGCCCAACAGTTCTGCCTCTGTCCCACAGGGAAGACAGATCCTGCAGGGAATCCATCCATCCCTTCCCTCTGTGGCCTCTGCAATAACCTGACATGGGTACAAAGGGAAGGAATCCATAACCTTGTTCAGCAGGGGGATCCAATATCCCTCCCAGTCCCTGAGGGCTGAGGGAGAATGGATCTGTAATCCAAGAAGCAGCAGCTCTGACTGTCTGGGAATGAAAGAGTCACAGTGAGCACTCACCTGGCTAAAGTTACCTGCAGGCAGAGAGGGAAGAGCTCAGCCTGTCCTCTTGGAATGGCTTGGAAATGGTGTGTTCATCATGGAATAACAGCAGCTTTTGCTCTGTAAACCTCCCACGTGGAGCTCTGCCCGTGCCCAGCCCCAAATTGTCCAGCACAGGCACCAAGGAGCTGGAAAAAGAGGCAAATGATGAAGTGTCCATGTTTGCTGACGACACAAAATGCTTCAGGATATCCAAACTGCCTGGAAGGGGCCAGAGAAGGATCTCCTGATGCTGCTGGAAGACACAATCCTGGAGTCCAGAGATTAGAAAGGGCTGCAGGGCCTGCTAGAGACACTGGGACAGTAACTGAGCTGTGCCAGGGGAGGTTCAGGTGGGACATCAGGAAGAGTTTTTTCATGGAAAGGGCTGTCAGGCCTTGGAAGGGGCTGCCCAGGGAGGTGGTGGAGCTCCCTCTCTGGAGGGAGGGCTCAAAGCTTCTGCTCCTCGGCCCTAAAGTCACCACACCTGACCAAGGTGTGCGGTGCCACCTCAGCAAAGGTGCCACAGGAGTTTCAGGACGGTGTTTTCTTGTTGCCGTGGCTCTGTCACAAAACAACAAAAAAAAGGGAATGTCCAGGCTGACAGAGCATGTTTGGAAATGGAAGTAAAATTCCAGTTTAATCGCTGATTAAACAAACCAGTAGTGCTGTTGGGAGGGGTCACGTGGAGTTCACTGCTTGGGTGGAGACCTCAAAACCAAAAAAAAAATGCCATGAGGGTGTCCGAGCATTGGCCAGGGGTTTCTTCAGCTGCTGCCTCACCCTGTCTGCTGGTGCTGGGCTGTGGGAAGCTGGAGAGCCACAACACTGGGAGTCAGAGTGTGCCGGCGCCTTGGGAAGTGCTGCAACACCGAGAGCCAGACCCGGATGAAACACTGGAAAGGGAGGAGTGAAGACAGAAAATGTTTCTTTGGGTTCTCCCCTCTGGTATAAACCTACCAGCCTGGTTCCATCCTGCAGCTCCAAGGCTGACTCCAGGAAAGATGCCATCCCTGGAAAGCACCAGGCACCACCAACACACTAATAATCACCCCCGAGGTTATTTCCCCAGAACAGGCTGTTTATATCTCATTGACTCATCACCTTTTGCACAATTCAAAACCTCTCACCAAAGCACCAGAAAACCCATTTTAGACCAGTGCTGAGCTCAGAGCCCTCAGCTGCACCTCAGGAATGAGATCAGAGCTCGGAGCCCTCAGCTGCAACTGGGGAGTGAGATCACAGCGCTGTCACTGCCAGTTCTCTGAAGCCACTGGCTCCTGGTGCTGGGGCAGCCAAAAAAGGCAACGGGAGGACACTGAAATGAGGCCAAACCCCAAAATCCTTGGAGCACTGGAGCGCAGTTCTGGTCTCAACTGCTCAGTGTGGAACGTGGTGCCACAGAAGACCGTGGGGACAATGCCAAGTTAGAACAGGAGCACACGAATTCACACCCACATGGTTATCAACGGCCTCTAAAAGGGCTCAGACTCGCCCTTAACATCTCTGGGATGCTCAGGAGAGGAAAATGGGCAGCAGCAGGAGCTGAACTTGGCTTGTTCAGCTGGAGAAGAAACTGAGGGGACACTTGCCAGGGTCTGCAGCTCCTCCTGAGTGGCAGCTCTGTGTGAGCAGGGACAGGAATCCAGCTGGAACTGTCCTGGTTGCCCAACCCAGATAAACAGGTGAGTTCCTGTACAAGTCCCATGTTCAATAGCAGCACATCCAAGTTTATCTGACACGCTCCAGTGCCAGTGTCACACCTGCACCACCCAGACCTGCCTCCAGCCCACCAGGATCCCATCCCTGTCCCGTTGTTGGAGCCTGTCATTCCCAGTGTACGGATTCCTGGACTCCAGGCTTTTTCCTGCAATGACTGGATTTCACATGTCAGTGCTGAGACTGCCATAAAAGTAACACCAACATATTAATTTAATTAGTCACTTCCTGTCTTAATGGCCAGAAGATCCTGAGCTGCTTCACGGGTACAGGACAAGGCACAATAATCTATATGTCCCAATAATTTGGGACAGCCCAAAGCGAGCTGTGGGGACAATGTCCACATCCAACAGGTTGCAGTGGGGCCGGATCACCAGGCACACACAGTTATTTTCTTTTAACTCGGGAATTTGGTACCTGACACATTAGGAAAAACAACAAGGAAAGAGAAAGAAACAGACACCTAAAGTTGTTCCTGACAGAACTGCTCAGATAAACTCCTGGAGGAGCCGCAGGGCTGGCTGGGAGCACAGGAACAAGGGGATGTTCCATATCTCAGGAATGCAAAGTGCCACTTCTGGCTGCTGAACCTCCTTTATCTTGTTTTCAAACAAATCCCTTTTTTTTCTCGTTTCCCAAACAAACCGAAGGCTGTGGGAGGTTCCGAACCTGGAGTTTCCCTCAGACAAACAGCCCTTCCCTCAGAACCTCGGGAGCCACGGAAAGGGCTTTGGGGGGGTCTGACGACCACCAACTCCGAGACCCCTCATCCCGCCTTCACTTTGGGAAGCTTTGGGAAGCTTGGGAAGCACCTGTGACCCCCCAGCCCACCTGTGTGTGTGTGTGGGGCGGAGGGGTTCGGCCGGGAGACCCTCAGCCCTGAGGAGGCACCTATGGAATCTGCGTCCAGTTCTGGGCTCCTCAGCACAGGAGGGACACGAAGGAGGTCCAGCGGAGGGTGTGAGGACGATAAAGGAACTGGAGCATCTCTGTGACGAGCAACCCTCAGACCCCCCTTCCCTCGCTCCCCTCACGGCCCCTCAGAGCCGCCGAGGGCGGGAAACGGGCGGGGGCAGACCCCCGTGAGGGGGCGTGGTTAGGGGCGGGCCGGGGGCGTGTCCATAGGGAAAGGGGGCGTGGCCAGAGGCGCTGCCCGGCGCTGAGGCGGCTGAGGGGGGACAGTCGCCGGTTCGGCCGCGACAGGTGCGTTGGGACTCCCCCGTATAGCTGGGAAAGGTGAGTTGCGACAACCCCCGTATGGCTGGGAAAGGTGCGCTGGGACGCCCCGGTATAGCTGGGAAGGGTGCAGTGAGACCCCCCCTCGGTTCGGCTGCGAAAGGTGTGCTGGGCCCTCCCCCCCTTCCTCCGTATAGCTGGGAAAGGTGCGTTGGGACTCCCAGTTCGGCTGGGTCAGGTGCGATGGGAATCCCCCGGTTCGGCTGGGAGAGGTGTGTTGGAATTCCCCGGTATAGCTGGGAAGGGTGCGGGGAGACCCTCCCTCCCAGTTCGGCTGGGAAAGGTGTGCTGGGCCCCCCCCCCTTCCTGCATATAGCTGGGAAAGTGCGTTGGGACTCCCAGTTCGGCTGGGACAGGTGCGATAGGAATCCCCCCGTATAGCTGGGAAAGGTGCGTTGGGACTCCCAGTTCGGCTGGGAAAGGTGTGCTGGCCCCCCCCCTCCGTACAGCCGGGAAAGGTGCGTCGGGACTCCCATTTCGGCCGGGAAAGGTGTGTCGGGATTCCCCCGTGTAACCGGGACAGGTGCGTTGGGAAACTCCCCCCCCTCCCGGTTCGACTGGGACAGGACCGCCGGGACCCCCCTCCCGACAGCGGGACAGGGGCGGTGGGTCTGCCCGGAGCTGGTCCCGGTGCCTCGGGAGGGTCCGAGCTGGACCCGGGACCCCCCTCCCGACAGCGGGGCAGGGGCGGTGGGTCCGCCCGGAGCTGGTCCCGGTCCCGCGGGAGGGTCCGAGCTGGACCCGAATCCCCCTCTCCGGGCATCCCGGGGGGCACCGGGGCTCGGCCTTCAGTGGCAGAGCCCCCTCCTGTCCCCGGGTACCGTCGGGAAAAGGGGGTCTGGGGGCTCGTCCAGGGGGCAGGGAGGGCTGGGGGTCGTGTCGTGCCCCCCCTCTCGGCTGTCGTCAGGTTCATGCCCGTGGTGCCCACGGGGTGTCCCTTTTCCTGGAATGAGTCACCCTCTTCCACCTTGGGCGAGTGTTCAATGAGGAGTTTTTGCGTTCGGGATCTTTCCAGATGCAGAGGGATTTTTATTCTGCTGTCAAATTCTTAGGGGAGGTTATGGGGTGTGGATTTTTAAGGTGGCTAAATCACAGTCCTTCCCTTCCCTAACATCTGGGACACCTCGGGCATCCCTGTCCCCTCCTCTGTCTCGTCTGCACTCGGTGCCACCTCCCACGTGTCCTGTTGCAGAACGCTCACGGTCCTGTTAAAATTTTAATACCTGTTTTCCTGAAGTGACTGGGAATAAATCACTCAGAAGGAGCAGCAGAGAAAGCCCAGAGATGCTTGAACACACCAAAACCTGTAAAATGAATGAGAAAGCCCCAAGAATGTGGAATGGCGTAAAAAAATGCGGGAGCACGAGTTTCAAGGCATCTCAGGGGCTCTGTTTTGTGTCATTTCTATCGACTGAGGTCCCAGCAGCAGGTGCTGCCTTTACAAAGAGATTTTTTTGCCAAAACAGGCCTGATTGGCTCAACGTGCCCGTGGCTGTGATGGAGGAAACGGCAGGAAAACACAAAAAAACCCAACGGGGAGGAGATGCAGCCTCAAACTGGGATGGCTGGAGCTGCACTGGGAATGCTCAGGCATCCAAAGCAGGGTTATTTTCTGAACAATTGCCCCTGGGTTTTGTTTCCCTGAACTGTCCTTCCGTGTGTCAATGGGCACCTGTTCCCTGTGCCAAGGGAGCTCCCGTGAATGCCCCGCTCCTGTTTCCCGGGCACTGCTGACTGTGTTTGTGAAAGGCCATTTAAACTGCAGCGAGGCCTCAGGTGAGCTCCCTTTGGCTCGAGATTAGTCATAAAACAAAGTTCAAACTGTGGCATGGCAGGGCTCATTCAGCATTGGGGTTTTGGTGTGGACAGAATTCTTTTTGTAAGTTTTTTTTTGTGGATTCTGTCTGTGATCTCTGTGTGCGTGTTCTGGGCATCGAGATTGGGGGCTGCATGCTGCAGTCCCAGGAACACTGGTTCATTTGTGCAGGCAATATGATTTTTAAGAAGTGGAGGGGGTGGAAATGAGCCCCTTGTCTTGGTGGGTGGTGCTTTTGTGCAGCTGTCAAAGGCCAGACAAGTGCAGAGCATCCTCCTCTCAGGGCAGCCTGGACAGAGTGGAGGGGGGTGACTTGGTGGTGCAAAATGTGCTCAAAAAAAGCAGGAATTTCAGAAAGTAACTGCAGTCTGAGGTTCTCTTGCTGATTGGAAGGGGCTCTGGGTGCCTCTCAGGTGGCTGCACGTTGATAAGTGGTTTAAGGGTATTTCAACATCCCCACAAAACCAGCACCACTTGTTTGCCTCCGTAGTTCCACCTGCACATCCGAGAGCTCCATCAAAATCCCTGTCTGGATAAAACGTGTCCTGGCACGGCCAGGACATCAGGGGACTTATGGAATGTGAGAGAAAGGCCTGTTCTTCCTCACTGCATCCCCAGGATGGCAGCAGGAGCAGCCCTGGAGAGGCTCCTCCACTGGAGAGGCTCCCATTCCAGGCCTGGAGAGGCTCCTCCACTCCCAGTGCTCCCATTCCAGCACTGGAGAGAGGCTCCTCTGTTCCCAGTGCTCCCATTCCAGCACTGGAAAGGCTCCTCCACTCTCAGTGCTCCCATTCCAGCACTGGAAAGGCTCCTCCACTCCCAGGGCTCCCATTCCAGCACTGGAGAGGCTCCTCCACTCCCAGGGCTCCCATTCCAGCACTGGAGAGGCTCCTCCACTCTCAGGGCTCCCATTCCAGCCCTGGAGAGGCTCCTCCACTCCCAGGGCTCCCATTCCAGCCCTGGAGAGACTCCTCTGCTCCCAGTGGCAGCCCCAGGGCTCCCATTCCAGCCCTGGGAACTGCAGGCTCTGCCTGTGCAGCTGAATTCTCCTGGCCCCAGGCCTTGCAGAATCCCAAGTCTCCCTCATTTCTGAGCAGGTGCATTCCATACCCGTGAGGATTTCGGGAACGTCGTCATCCCTCCCTTTGATCCACTGTTGCCTGAAGGTGTTTCCATCTGAGTCCAGACCTGGCCTCAGACCTGGCCTCAGACTGGATCCAGAGTTCTGTGACTGTGCAAATCCCTTAAAGGAATTAATGGAAAATGCAAGGAAGGGCTCAGCCCCAGCAGTTGGCATTGCAGGGTCAGTCGGTGCCCTTGCCACGGGCATTGTGTGACATGGGACCAGGGAGAAAAGAAAAGAGGGAAAAAAAGGAAAGGCGTTTCCCTACAGGCTTTATTTTTGTCTTATCAGGGAACTCTTTAAATTAATCTCCCCTCCTTTCCTCCTCCTCCTCCTCCACAAAAAGAGAACCAAGCATGTAAAAAAAATAAATCTGATGTGGTGAAAAGCAGGATGGGGGTGTGTGAGAGCTGTTCTTGAGGTGACTGGTGTTATTTAAGTGCCACTGTGGTCACTGCTGTGACAGGAGGGTCGGCGACCACGAGCCTCGTCTGAGCTCACGGAGGAAACCGGGAGCGAAACGAGAGTGAATGACAAATGTTTGCACAGGAATTACATCCTCTTAGTTTCATAACTCCAGCCCTCTTGCATAAATGCCAGCAGGTTTGGTTCGAGGGCACTCTGGGGCTTCCTGGAGCTCCTCTGAGTGTGTGGGAAACACAAGAGCGTCACTCCGGAATCCTTTGGCCCCTCTCAGCCCCTCCTGGAGGCTTTATCAGGGCACCATCTCGATGGCATCTGCAGAGGAAATTATAATTGGCATCTGCTGCCCTTTTTTAAGTCAGTTGATGGATGGGATCCTGCGGGGTGGGGACTGGTGGCACTGGGAGCACCCGCGTGGGGACAGTAACAAATCACTCTGAAACCTCCTCCCTGCTGCTGACACCGTTCCTTCCTCCTGACAGGGATTTGGGGAGATAAGATGGAGCCTTCCCCGTTCAGCAGAAGACAATGGGCCTCCCAGTCTTTGAAGATCACTGCCAAGGAGCTTTCCCTGGTCAACAGGAACAAGTCCTCGGCCCTGGCTGAGAGGTTCTCCAAGTGAGTGGGGCTGTGGGGCTGGGAGGTGACAGCTGCACTCACAGTTGCTTTGCTGCCTCAAAACCCCCCAGAGCTGGAGGCATTGAAGTTTTCTGGTTTAGGATGTGCTGGGCAGAGGTGGTTCTCCTTGGTGACATTGCCTTGTTTCAGCAGTCAAAGCTGGAATACCTTCCTTCTGCCAAAGCAGATGATTTTCTGTCACAATACCAATTGCAATTTGGAGTTGAGGGGCAGAGCATTGGAATGTGGGAAGCTGTGCCCGCTGCTCAACCACCCTCTGGGGGAAAAACCTTTTCCCAATATCCAACCTAACCCTCCCCTGACTTGGGTAGAAGAGGAATATCCCCCTTGCCTTTCCTCTGAGAGATGGATGAATTGTTACACCATAAATATTGTACACACTGAGGGGTGGGAACCTGCATATGTTTCCTGGAAAAGCTTTTGTTTCCTTAAGGAATTATAATAGGATGCAGCTGGGACTTTCAGTGGGATTTGGGGCAACTGAGTCTCCTGGGATCTTGCATCAATAATGGAGCAAAGTTTAGGAGTATTTGGATCTTGAGTGTGGGGGAAACTCTGTAAGGGAGGGATAACTGCACATCTCCAAGTTCCTCTGGGGGTCTCTGGCCAGGGAGAAGCTGTTTGCTGTCACTGCCTCGTTAAGGTAATTTATTCACTCGCTGCAGCTTGATTACAGGACCTGGTCATCTTGCTAAATGTTGGTAATCCCTTGAAAAGGGCTTACTGGGAGTAATCCAAACTGCTATTCCTTAATCAAGTACTGTCCCCCTGCACAGGCAGTGTCAGTTTTCCTTGGAAAAAACATGGTCCTGCTCCCTGGCTTTGCCACCCCGACACCTGCAGGGAGGAGGGTAATTTTTCTAAATGCTGTTACCCAAATATTTGTATGTGAAAGCATTTATTTTCCCATCCCACATAATCAGTTTTGTTGGGTCACAGGCAGGCAAACAGCAACGGGAGGGATTCAAGCAGTGCCCTGTGCTGGGCTGACTCACAGGCTCCTCAAAATCCTCCTGTGTTTTCCAGGTGGGACTTGACTTAATTCCTGTGTCCCTCTTCGTTGCTTCTCCCAGTATTGACCCCTCTTTGCACAGCAACACTTTCTCAGCATGTCTTGTGCAAATTTATTGGTGCAGAGACCTGGGTGAGGGTGTTTGCCTGGATTAAAGGGGGAGGCAGCAGCCTGCAGCACTCTCACAGCTGACTCAAAAGCAGAATTCCACAGATAAGGAAAAACAGAAACACCCTTTGCCCAGACAGACACTGGGTGATGTTCGTTCCTCCTCCCTAAAATGGCAAAATTTGTCCCTGATTTTCACGTTCCACACACCAAATGCAGCCCCCCCGAGTGGTGCAGGAACCAAGGGAGGAGTGTTCAGGGACTCCCACCCAGGGCAGATTGCAGGGAATTCCCCAGAGCTCCTTAAGGGGACTTTGATTCATGATCCAGGGTGGCTTATCTTGGGGAGGGCTGTGATTACCCCTCCTGCTGCCACCCTGGCTCAGCTGCTCAGGAGGCAACTGCTGAATGGGGGCAGTTTCCAGCCCACAGAATCAGATCCACTGGCACTCAGGGAGGTTTTTTGAGGTGTGCCAAGCTGGGATTTGTTCTGGTTCAGCAGCTGCTGGATAAAGAGCTGAGTTATTCCTGCCAGGGGGGCACAGCAGACAGCTGGGTGGCAGAAACAATAGCAGCTATTCCAAGGTAAACTGTCTCTGTTTGGGAATCAGAGTGCTTAGGGAGGGAGAAACGTTAATGGATGTTATTACTGTAAACTGGATGGCTGAAAATGTGTCTGTCACTTGGCTTTGTGTCATTTGCTGCTGTTTGTCCAGCCTCTGGTTTTAGTTGAGTGAGATCCTTGGTGGGGGGAAAAAAAAAAATCCCAGCTGTCTTTTTCAAGAGTGTTCAGTCTGGTCAAAAAAAGTCATTTTTGTTTGGTTTTTCTCCCTCTCAAAGGTATCAGAAAGCTGCTGAAGAAGCCACTGCCGAGAAGAAAAGAAGTGTAAGTGTTTGTATAAGTATTTGTTCCCTTGGGAATGAGCAGAGCCTACAGTCAGGATGGATCACCTGCACAAACGTTGCTGTGACAGCTGATTTTTGGAATATCCAAGTTGCTGCAGAGAACTTGGCTTAGCCACAGTGTTTGCTCTTGCCTCATTCTCCACACCTTCTCCCAGTGTGGAGGGAAGGAAAGGAAATGAAGCTTCTGGCCCAAAGCTCTGTTGAATCACCAGTTCACTCCTCAGCAAAAGGCAAACTGAGTTAACCACGAGCCACCAACACCCACCTTCTGTTCTTAGCTTGTGTGCTGCCTCTTCCCTTCTTAACTAAACTGAAAAGTGCTCAAAAGGGGCCTCCAGCCTCTCTAAAATCCGTGTGTGTCTCTGAGAGCTGCAGGATCTTCCCTGAAGTGACTCCCAGGGCTGGAAATGCCCCTGGATGAGGCGGCACCAACCTTTTTGGCTCTGTTACAGCCTCACATTCCCTCCCTTGCACTTGGTGTTCCGGGGTCAGGGAACCTTGGCTGGAACACCAGGCATGAAGGTTGCAGGGCTTTGTCCAAGCAGGCCCTCGGGGTAATTAGTATTTAAAAGGACTGCCAATATTTTCAGGATCTAGAGGAAAGTCGCTGCCTTTAGTTCCTTAGTTCCTGGGGAGCCACTCTTTTGCTGTTTGGGATACAGGTGAGATAAAATAAGCACTCTGAAAATTACTTTTGGGCCTTAAATTTCCCTTCATTGCTTGTGCTTGTGTCTGTCAATCCCCCTGTCATCAGGGAACAGGCAAATCCCAAGCAGGAGGGACTCGTGTTAGGAAGTGTGCAGGGACTCCAGAGGTGTTCCCATGGAAACCTGCTGGGCAATCTTCAGGATTTCTGTCCCATTACAACACTTCCCTTATCATTTCAGTGCTTTCCTTTCAATGCAGGCAGCAAACACGCTGATTTTTGGGTTTTTTTTTTTTTGGGAAGTGTAGGTGGATTCGAGTCAATTTGCAAAGCAGCGTTCAAAATGCGACCAGAAGAGTAATAGGGTGAGAGACTTAAATCCCAATATAGCTGCTAATCCCAGTTAATTCCTGTAAGCCCGGCAGCCCTGCTCCACTTGCAATGAGTTTGGAGTGGTCTCCGTAGGGGAGAGGCAGGAAACATGCAATGGTGGCAGGTACTGGATTGGGATGAACCAAACTGGGGCTGGGGCTGCTGCTCTGGGGAGGGGGAACTGCCCGGAGCAGAACTGGTCTGGGAAGCACTGGGATGGGAGGTGTGGAAGCACTGGGATGGGAGGTGTGGAAGCACTGGGATGGGAGGTATGGAAGCACTTGGATGGGAGGTATGGAAGCACTCAGATGGGAGGTATGGAAGCACTTGGATGCTCCAGGTGCTCCCTGGAGGGCTGAGGTGTGTTTGTGACCCCCAGGCCTGTCCCTGGCAGAGCTTTCAGTGGCCTGAGTGGAACAGAAGAAAAATCCCAGCAAATTGCTGATGAGGAGGAGTGGGAGGATGTTGGTTGTGGGTGCTGTGAAATCCTGGTCAGATCCCTCCTGGCTGAAGTGCTGCTGTTACCTGGGAGTAGAAACACAAACCCCCAAGGGTTGAGTGGTTTCTGAGGACTGATCTGTAGCTTTGGGAAGGCCTGAGAACTGTTGAAGACACTGCAGCGTTGGGCTCTCCCCTATCCCGTTCCCTCCTCGTGTGGATTTGGGTCCCATTTCCTTCATATGTGGATTCGAGCCTTTTGTGTGGAATTTAACCCCTCGGGTTCGACTCCCTTTTGCCTTATAAGGCCATCCTGTTTGCTCACTTCCTGACTTTTTCTCTCCTCTCCCCCCCTCCTTCCTTCCCTGTGTCCTGGATGTTTCTCCATGTGGCACAGCTGGAACTGTTCACAGCTGGCCGGGAGCGGGAGCGGAGCCCTCGCCTTCCTCCGCGGACGGGAAAGGAAGGGCTTGGGAGAGCTCGGAATTAACTCCTTGTCCCTTTGCAGAACGCGGAAAACCTGCCCCCTCACTTCACCAGGGGCAATCTGAGCGCGCTGAAGAAGAAGTGGGAGAAGCCGGCGCTGGGAGCGGAGTCCTCCGGGAGGGAATCGCTGCGGGGCGGCTGCGCTGAGCTTCGGCACAAGGTCGGGACCGGCCGCGCTTCTTCCCCATCCCCGGGGGCTGCGGCTGCTCCTGCTGACGGCTCGAAGGCCAGGATCCACTCACCGGAGGGTGCCAGCATGGAAAACTGCGTGAGAGAGCCCAGGGAGGTGGAAAAGCCCGAGGCCGGCGAGGGAGCGGAGCCCCCGGGCAGGATCGAGAAGTACAACGTGCCCCTGAGCAAGCTCAAGATGATGTTCGAGAAGGGCGAGCCCCCCCAGCCCAAGGTAAGGAAGGGTCGCTCCTTCCAAAATCCCGGGAGCAGCTGGAGCTGGCAGCAGGAAAACCCCGGGAGGGAGTGGCTCCGGCTCTCCGGGCTCTGCAAATCTCGTGTGCATTGTTTGGGGGGGAAAAGCAGAACGTCGTGGTGTTTAATAACTCAAATAAGAACTTACCCGAGACTCTCGAGTGCGTGCAGGGCGCTGGGAGCTGGGGCAGTTCGTGTGGTGGCTCGTTGGGGTATAAAATGGTTTTTGCTCGTGGGAGGGTTGAAGGGAGAAAATGGAATTTATTGGGTCGGGATTGTTTCTGCCTTGCGTGAAGATTGCGGTGAGTTACATAAGAATTGTGCAAAAATACATATGTATATATTTATATATTTTTTATTTATTTTGTATATTTATGTATTCTTATGTGTATATGAAAGAAGAAGTAACTGAGGTGAGCTCAGCAGTCAAGCTGAAGCACTGAGGAGTGAGAGGTTTTGATATCTGGATCAGCATGAGTCACACACACATATATATATATACACACACATATATACATATAGATATGCATCGTGAAATACTCCCATCTTTTCCTCGCTCTTCCCACGTCTCTGGATCTTAACAAACGTTTCTTATCGAGGAAAAAAAAGATAAAAAATCCCTCACCGGGAAGGGGGGGAAAACGAAGCCGAGATGGCCAGAGCAGCTCCTGCCCTCGCTAGTTTTGACTTGCAAATGCTCCGGGCTCGCATTTTTCCTCCGACTGCTCATGAAATCCGATCCCGCGATGTGGACTCCGAGTGTCCCGGGGGGGGAATTGCTCAACTCCGAAATGAGTTGCATATGCCGGGGACTTGAAACGCGGGTCCCGAGGCCCCGATGTTGGTGGATTTTCCAGTTTTCTCATAGTTTTTTCCCCCTCCTCCCGGCTTTGTTTCTGCTGCGGGTGGTTTTCTTGAAGTATTGAGTAAAACAAACACATTTTGGGCAACGATTTAGGGCTCAGAGGAGCGAGTCGGTGCCGGAGAGAGGTTTGGGGTCTGTGTGGAGTCGTTTCACAACTCTGGATTTTTTGGAGCCTTTGTCATGCTGTGAGAGCCGCCCACCCTGTCCCCCGTGGGGAGGGCGATGTCCCGATAGCCCTTCCCTGAACTCCCAAGGATTAATCACGCAGGATTCCGCTGGAATTCTGCAGATGGGCTTCGAGTAACTTTATCTCAGGCTGGGGAGTCAACAGTTTGTCGAGTTTGGTGATTCAGGCATTGTTAAGAACCAGCTAAAAACACAGGAAACACCATCCAGGAGGGATGGAACTGGGTTCAAAAATTCCCATTCCAAGTTAATCTGTTACTCTTTAATTTTACAAGGGGGGGAAAAAGGCACGGAGTGTCGGGAAGTTGAGGACCGGGGGGGGGGGGAAAGGGGTGTCTGTGGAGTTAAATTCCTGGTTCTGGGAATGGATCTGAGGACAGGAGGGTGATGTCACGTCCTGTGCAGTGAGGGGACACAGCTCTGCTTCAGTGGTGTCAGTGTGGCCAAACTGCAGCTCTGCAGTTGCCTCTTCCCACTTCTTTCCTGAGGCTTTTCCCGAGCCAGGCTCCATGGAATCTTTTCGGTGGAAAATACCTTTGTGATCATGGAATCCACCTGTAAATTCAGCTGAGGGATCATGGAATCCAACTGTAAATTCAGCTGAGGGATCATGGAATCCAACTGTAAATTCAGCCGAGGGATGGAGGTTTTCCTTGGAATTTGCTTCCCAGGTGTAAGTGCTGTCAGAGCTCTGCTGACAGAACATCTGGGTGACCTGAGCAGCACCGTGTGACTGGAGCAGTAAATGGACTTTCCTGGTCGTGGGCAGGTCTGGGGCAAGAATCCAGATCAGAGCCTGGATTTCCTGATTCCATCTCCCTCTCTGAACAAACCCACTCTCGTTTTCAGGTTTAGAGGCAAAACCTCCCTCTTTTGCTCATTTATTCACTCTGCCTTTGCAATGGATGGGTGGCAGATCCTCCTCTGCTGCATTTTCACGGGAACAAACTGCTCTAATCCCATTAGGGGCAGGCACGGCAGCCCCGAGTTCAGCCTGGGGGGGAGAAAAGGGTGATGTTCAAAGGGCTCTTCCTGGAAGTGACAGTGAAACCACCCCCGGGGGAGATCAGAGGAGGAGGAGGAGGAGGAGGAAGAGCAGCAGTTTCTGGTTTGGGTTTCAGGCAGAGCTGTGGTGTGTAGGGCTCAGATCTGGGGTGGAATGAAAGAGGTGTGGCTTTGATTTTGGGTTTTTTTGCCCTGCTCTGGTGTGTGGGGCTCACATCTGGGGTGGAATGAAAGAGGTGGGACTTCGATTTGGGGTTTTTTGCCCAACCCTGTGCCCCGGGGGTGAAGCTTTCACCGCCCTCCTGGTGCCTCAGGGCCGAGAACTTGGGGCTTTCCACAGGCCAGGAATGTTTCCTCTCCTTCCCAAAGCTGTGCCCTGGGGATCCAGGGCTGGAAAGGAGCTGATAACACGTGCCCAAGGTTGGGATTTGGGAATTCCTCCACGGGAGGGGTGTTTGTGTCCCACAAACCACGATCCTGCTGATTCCCTGCAGTTGGATTGTGATGGGGAAAGTCCCTCATCTTCCCTCTGGTAAACTCCTTTTTCCTTTTACTCTGCTTTTCCCCCCCAATATTTATAGATATTTATAGATATTTATAGGTATTTATAGGTATTTATAGGTATTTATGGGTATTTATAGGTATTTATGGGTATTTATAGATATTTATCGATATAGATATTTATGGGTATTTATAGATATTTATATATATAGATATTTATAGGTATTTATAGGTATTTATAGATATTTATAGGTACTTATAGGTACTTATAGATATTTGTAGGTATTTACAGATATTTATAGGTACTTATAGATATTTATAGGTACTTATAGGTATTTATAGATATTTATAGGTATTTATAGATATTTATAGG